GGGGGGGGGGAGGGCGGGAGAAGTAAATGCAGGCAACAACAGCACACAGAGACAGAAAAAGACAGACAGACGCCACCCGCTCACTCAAGGCAGCGGAGGGAAACAGCAGCAGCAGCAGCACTAAGGAGTAGCTGTCTGTGCTCTGAGCCAGCAGCATGTTTACACAAATATATAAATATTTATTTATATATTCATTGTAGGCGACCGCGTTTGTCACCACACCTTCCTCTTTCCTCGCCCCTCTCTGTCCTCAGTCTATTCTTACGAAAACACAAACAACACACACACACACAAACAAACAAAAACAAAGCCTCGGAGATACATGGATGCCATGCTCAGAGTCGCTCCTTCTTTCTTTACGCAGGCACTCGTGCTGCCACGAACACCAGCCACATGGCAGCGTGCCCAGCATCCCGCCGCCGCCACGGCTACAACGCGTCGTAGAGCGCACGGGCGTGGCGAAGCAGGCGACCCAGCCCACGTGACGAAAACGACGATTCCTCTTGTGAGCTCGGCGTTGCCCACGGTGTTGGTGCCGCAGGTAGTGGCGGTGGCGCCTGCACCGTGTCTTCGCGTTGCTTGTGAAGTGGACGCAGCCGCACGTGCTCCGTCACGTACGCCCGCACATCATCGTTGCTGGCCGCCGCGCTGATCGTGCCGCCCAGCGTTGCAGTCGCCCTCACGGTGCTGCTGCTGCTGCTGCTGCTGCCGGTGGTGGTATTGGTGGTGGTGGTGGAGTTGGCTGCGCGATGAGCTGCAATGAACGGCGGTATCAGCAGGTGCGGCAGCGCGCCACGAGCAGAGAGTGCTGATAGCGCCGCTGCTCCTGCAAAGGATGATGATGATCGCATCGGCGCCGCGAACGACGCGGACAGGAGATCTGGGCGGAGCGATGAAAACACCTCGCCCATGCCATGCAGATGCTCAGCAGCAGCACCGGCATAACCGGCTGAAGGTGCAGCAAGGGCATCATCGCCGTACCGCTGGCGTTTCCGTCGCATCGGTGTTCGCCCCTCAGGCAAAAAGCCGCCGCTGAAGTCCCCAGCGAGAGTAGTGGTGGCGGTGGCGGTGGTGGCGTTGCTGCTTCTGCCCGGCGCTGTGGCTGAGACATCGTCGCCCCCCTCCCGGAAGAGTGGCGCAAGAAATGAGGCCGCGAACGGCACTGCGGCGACGATGTAATCGCCAATGGAACGCATACGTGGGATGTACACACCTCCGTCGCCACTGCGATCCCCCGCCGCATGGGCACCCCCCTCACCTGAAGGAGCGGCAGAAGCATTGGCGGCAGCAGCAGCGCCGGACTCGCAGCCTTGATGCTCCGCGCCGCCCTCCACGCGCTGTCGAAGTGGTAGTGGCAGATGAGCATCGTCGTAAGAGGAGCCCATCCCCATGAGACTGCTGCTCCTCCTGACGCCGCCAAACGCGGTGTGCAGCACCGATGAAGCCGCCCGCGACAGTGAAGAAAGGATAGGTTCCCCGGTCGCCTCATACCTGTCCGTGTAGTACTGCTGCTGCAGTGTGTTGGAGCGCCCGAGACCGTCCATGTTGAGCCGTGCA